GTTTAATCTCGAATTGGACGGCGGCAAGAAGCTTTCAAGAAGTTTCGGGCATGCTGCCGGAATGTTTCGACACGCAAACACACTTACGTTTACCTTTCGCCACGAATTCCGTACGATATGCTGAAAAGATTCCAGCTTGCTTCTCGATTGCCTGGAATCCAGCATCGCTCACGCGAAAGCTGAACCTTGCACCACTGAGATCCCTGTGAAGGGAATCTCCCGGATCTCGATCTCGTTTCAAACGATTTCAATCTCCTTTTTTTTTGCTTCTTATTTCTCGGAAGTTTTCAAATTTCAAAATTTCTCATTTTCCTAACAATTTTTATTTCTTTATCAAAATCCCAGACAAACGAAAACTATAATAAAAGGAATTACCAATTTTTTTAAACGCGTTGATCCAGCAAAATTGGAAAAACTTCTACAAAATTTGATACATTCCCGTCGTGTGTATTTTGTATTTATCAAAGTGTACTCGTCAGATCGAAATAGGAGCGTTCATTGGACACGTTCATTTGAAGTATTAACCAACGATCGGAAGTGACGGTGAAACGTCAGAAAGTATCTACTAGTTTTACAGACGGCTATCATAGCCTGTGTTTTTTTTGTACTATCGATGTAAAGTCGACAGAAAATTGCTGTCGGATATCCGGTCCGGGAAATGGAACAGTGAATATTTCGAGGAAGCACTTCGGAGCGATAAATATATGTTATGTTAGTGGTAGGAGACTTTCATTCGGGTCCGAACACGTCGATAAAAGCGTTCGTCCAGCCAAGGGAGCAAGGTATCGAGGCAGCATTTGTTTATTCGAAATCGATGAAATTTGTCGCAGTGAAAATTTTATAGAGTATCGAACGAGCAGTAATAGACTGGAAATTCTGCCCGAAGGGAATCGAATTTCTATCGAGCCGGAACACTTTCAAGCGTTTGATTCTTGCGTATACGCGTCGAATGATATTGCCTCGCAACAATTGTACAAATAGGATTGTTCGAATTCATACACGGTATTTTATTTTTTTACCTTTTGTATCCTTTTTATGTTCATACATGAATTGCAGAATTTCTGAACGTTCGAACTCGGAAGATTAGGATAGAAGCTTTCAATAAATTCGACGAATTATTTCCTTTATCTTTTGTACGACTATATTTCTATGAAACTTTTCGGTCGATACATTTTTATATTCAAAATTTCTTTGATGACATAGTTACTCTATGTCTATGACTCGTTAATTGCTGCAATGTTGAGAGAATAAGTGTAACGTGCAATCGTAATTAACCACAGCTCAACGTGACAATTCCGAGTGGAGAATATTCATCTTCGCACGGAAGATTTGGTTTCTCATTTATGAACGGCACATGTTCAGCTGTAGACAATGAGACAATGCTCAGCTGTACCTCTGTTTCGCCATCTGCATCCTGCCACGTCCTTTGTGGATGAGAAACTAAATTTTGAATGGATATGCATTCGCACAATCCATGGGATTTTTGTAATATGTAGGCAAACAATCAACCACTTGATTACATTTTATTTCAATTATTCTTTCAATTTGTGACTTCAATGAGTGCAGATTTTTGAATAACAGAATTTTGCTAAATTATTTTCTATTACTTTACTGGAAGAGCTGAATGGATGAAACAATAGAATTCTTTCCAGAGGTAATTAACAATGCATAGAGCATTTTACAGATGTGAAATAATTACTTACATTACAAGAGAAGGAAGTATGCTTCGATAAGTTTTCTTTTCACAATCATAATCCCATCATTTCTTCCCGGAAGAACAGTTTCTCGGTTTGACCATTTCTGCCCATTAAATTAGGAATAATTTTCTGGCATGATAAATGCATTCGAATTCCGACGGGCAAACCGGTATTCGACCCAAATTGCGAGTCGTAAATAATCGTTGGAAAACGGGCCCGACAAGAAGGCAGCAGATTCGCGTCGAATCCGCGTTGTCGCGTCTCCTCGTTCCGTCCTCATTTTCCGCCGTTTGATTTATCGTCGCGTTACTTGAAGCGTCGTTGGAAAATATTATACGTCGATCGTGCATATTCCTCGCGGAGGACGATCGTACGCGAGCCGTGTAAATAATGTAAAGCTTGGAAAAAAGCGTTTCGATCGTGTTCTCGTAAACCGTTTTTTGCGGCCCGCGTGCCATTCCGCTCGATCGTTTATGAAACGCTCGCCTCGCCTCGTTGCCCGTAAAAATCTTCCCATTGAAAACGAACGACACGTTGTAGAATGTTATTCCTCTATTCGCGAGAAATATTTATAAACGTTTCGATTGTAGTCATTACATTGATAGCGTGTTGCGTTCAACGTACCGCGTGCAATGGTTGAAAGATAAATTTGAAAGCGTATAAAAAGAGAGAGAGAGTGAAATTGAAGTTGTGGAAAAGTAGCTGAAAAGACTCGGAGGTGCGAAAATTCTGTATATAACAGAGCTTTGTCCATCGAGATCCGCGTGTTTGGGGCAACGAACATTCACCGAGTGCAATTATTCCCCAAGACGGAGATAATTCGACGAATTCGCGTAAGGCTATTCTTAATCCGGCTTATCCGACGTACCTTTGTCCCCGTTCAGAAACTTGCCGGGAAACCGGCCCCTTTCTGCACCCTATTTCCGCCCCTTACCGCCGCCCTCGTCCCTTCGCGGCGACTAATCTTCTTGGGTGCTAAGCTTCTGATCAGAGATTGCGGCGGTCGCTCGGTAGTCACCCCGTAACGGCAAGTCAATCACAAGAAACGTGCGAATTTATTACATTGAATTCGGGGTATCAATGTTTGGCCAGCTCTCAAGAACTTTGAATTGCCAGCATTAACTCGTCGTCGTTTAACAATTTTCCTGTTGATAGAGAATCGAATGAAATAAAAAAAAAATAATTTTATTTACCGTTAAAGAAAATGGTAGAAAATCAAATCGTACATCGGATGATTGATTTTCATTAAAGCACATTTCGTTGTTAACGTCCCAGATTTGTTAGCTACGATTACTGCTGACGCAGGAACGAGTCTTTCCTCGGTGTTACCGGATCGTGTTTCTCTGCTGAAACTTTCCGCTATTAAACTTACGTCTACGCCTTTCGCGTGTAATCCAATCCATCGAGAGCGTGTTGTTGATCAGCGCGGTTGAAGATTGAGCACCTGTATGCTGCGGGTAGAAAGTTTATTGTCCTGGCTAATCAATCTACCCCTTTCAATAACCAGCGTGTATATGCTCGCGTGTATTCTCTTTCCATTCTTCGAATTAACAAACACCGAGACGTGAGAAAAGAAAGAACAGCGTAGGAACATTAAAATTTAATTGTCCGTGTTACAACCCCCTAACGCTGCAAATTACGAAAGAAACGCGAAGCGAAAGTATAATGAATGCATGTAATATAATCACAGTCTCCTATAATTAAACCTTGCGATATAATTTTCCGACCTGGATCCAAGGATCCGCCATAAACCTTAAATTTCACGCGACACGAAACGTGTGAAACACCTGCTGCGATGAATCATAGCGGCGGAGCTCCTCGTTTCGATATACACCGTGGTACAATTAACTTCCATGAATTACACTTAATCACCCCGTACTCTCATCGTCAGATATCCCAGTTGCAAGTGCAACGGGATGGAGAGGAAGCTCGTCAAAGCGTCGTTCGTTGTAACCCGGAGAACCGGAGGTATCGTTCGCGGTAACCGAGGACAATTTCAATACCTAATCTCAGTGACAAACGGAGGGTACGTACAAGTAACCCAAACAATGGCTACCATTCGAGGTTGATGGGTTCGTGTAAAAGGAAGCTGCATGTTCGATCCGCTTGAAATTCCATTCGGAATTACAATCTCTCGAACGACTACGCCTTTCTCTCGTAAGCGAAGCAAACGTTGGATAGGAGATCGGTAAGGTAGCGAGAAAGGAAGTTCGGCTGGTCGAGGGACAGGAAAGGCAGGGTGAATTTTCGTTGAATCCCGCGGACACGAGTTTCGCTGTCGGTCGGACCTCGTCAAAGCTATCCCCCGCGACATTACCGGAAATTGCGGACACTGCCTTTCCCAAGTCGACTGGCAGTCCGGTTGCGGCACGAAGTGCACGAGTTTTGCGGCGAATTCGACAGCTTGTATGCATTATACGCGCAGGTGTCCGTGCCGGTGGTCCGCTTTCTGCTTGTGGAAACAAGAATAGCCCCCTTTTGTGTACGCTCTGCACATCTCGCGACTACATTAATTAAATACATGCTCTCTCTCTCTTTCTCTCTTTCTCGTTTACCCTTTAACCAACCGAATGCTCTCCACCTTTGATTGCCCATGAAGTTCCTATTGTATCCTAGATGACCGAGACCTCGCGGCTACCCTCGAGTACGATGTTTTAATGAAAACTCTCTACTCTGGTCGGTTGAACGGCTCCTATTCATCAACGGGATCATACTTTGATCTTGCACTTGCAGTTTCGTGTTTCGATCTCCTCCTGTACGCACCGTTTATTTTTGCTAACGTTGACCCTGGCTTTTTTAGTATATCCTTGACGCGATTTAGAATCTTCTTTAGGTTTGCGTAGATTTCGATTATATACTGGTAATGAACTTTTCAATTTGTAACATCAAAAGCCAGGTGTATTGATCTTCAAGTTTTTGTTTAAAATCCTCTATGAGCTAAGTTTAAGAATATTATTTTTGAATGATTTATTAGAAATAAACGGAAGGATTTTCTGTGATTTTAAGAGTGCACTCTCAAGGTGTTAAGGATTAAAAAATAGTGGATTAAAATAGATTCCATATAAAACTCAGAATTGGGCTGAGAGGGTAAAGTATTTGGTATGAGAATATTTCGGTCGCAAGGCAATAATTTATTTCATGTAGAAAGAGAAACGGTAAATCGTGCATATGATAACAAGAATGAATAGAAATGATTAAAAAGCTGGGCTCAACCGGAAATCTGAATTTCTATTAATAATCCTTTGAGGAGGAGCGGGTAATCGTGCTTTCGAAATGACGACTGCTGCTTGCGATGCTAATTCCTTGTCCATCTGCTTCCTAATCGGATCTTCCTGTTACGCTCGGGAGAAAAGTTTGAACCGCACTGCGACTCCGTAGAGGAGCGAACATTCGCGAGCAAGACAGACCGAGTAACCTGCATTCTTGGCGAAATTGCCATCAAGCCTTTTCCTTGCAGTCTGCCTTTCAGAGGGACACGATGGAATTGCATTTGTGACACGGGACACCGACACCTTTTCACGGTCGTTGGAAAACCTACGCTCCCTTTGGGACGCGTACACCAACATCGCGTCGGTTGGGTGCATTATTAAATGTTCGGAACTGAGATACTGACCGTATCGACCAAACTATTTTCTTTCGCATTGTTAAAAATTGAAATTCCATTTAAATTATTTGTTATTTCAACCCCTTTGTGTTTATTCCCTTCTTCGATATTCTCATGTTGTTTCTTTTTATGCGGCAGCATTTTATGTGGCAGTCGGTATCTTTTTCACAAGCGATAACCACCTCGTTTATAGTAATCGCGATTGACAACGTTTGGCAAGGAATACCACGGAACGATAGTTTCATCCCCTGGAAATGAACGCTGTAACACTTTGCTAAGCTATACCGCGACATGCACGTTATCGCTGTCATAACGTGCTCGTATCATCATTACGTTCGTTGATTCGAGTACCATGACTTCGTCGTTCGATCCTTTGTAATCCTAGAGGCGCATTTAGATGGGCAATAACGAAGAACGATCGCTCGTGCCAACGATTTCGGTGAATTGAATCGTAGCTTCCAGGGAATTAACTTGGTAAATAACGTAATACAATTTTCTCAAATCTGTCTATTCTTTATTTACTTTTTCAAAAAACTTTTCTATTCTTCGTACCATTTTTCAATTTGCAAACAAGAAATCCGTTTGAACACTAATCAGAGCAGTTCCATCGTTGTTCGAGCGAAAAGCCCATAGGTGCGGGCTGGTGCTAGCGGCTCGATTTCAAAGTGAGATTTCGGGAAAAGATGCAGGTAAACAAACACGAGGCTCGCTTAGAAGGCGGGAGCAAGCAGGAGCGAGGAGAGAAAGGAAAGATCGTGGAGAAAGATGGAAAGAGATAGTTGGATGGGGGTAGAGGGAAAAGTCCAGGGGTGGCTGGTGCGCGGGCGCGGCTTTGCGGGTCAGAGTGCGCCGGGTATATAACCGGGCGGATGCCGTCGTCCTTTAGTCTTGCGCTTATCGTCATCGTGACGATCCGCTCGGATTCCACGAGCAAGCGGTCGCGTGTTCGCGATGTACGATCGACGATCGGTAATCTTCGTTCGCGCGTTCGTTAAGTTTCAGCCGCTTCGAGGTTAGTTCGTTCGGTGACGCTGTGAGGTGAACTTCGTTCGCGCATCGACGTGGATCTAATTGAAAAATCCTTCAATCGACTCGTGTAAAATATCCGATATCGGATCTTTGCTGATCAATTATAATTAATAAACACAAACATGTCTCTTCGAGTCTCGGGGATAAGTGACGCGTCAACCTGTTGTAACCTTGTATCGGGTACGCCATAGAGGCGTGTAAACAATTCATTGAAGACCTTACGTAGAAGGGACAGTGCGGTGGAAACTTACGACGATTATTGTTCGCTATTCGCCTGTCGAAAAGGTATCTTTCGAGAGAAGACGTGGAAGTAAAAGATTCTCGTACGAGTGCTGTCAAGGGAGCGGAAAGAAAATGGTACCGGACCAGAGATTCGATTGTCCGACGCGAGAGGCCGCGAAATGTGGAGCGTGAAAGTAGCACGGTTGAATGGTGGAAGAATCGAAACTCTGGAGTAGCGGAAACGAAGGGCGGAGAAGGGAAAAAGGAAGAAAAGAAGGAAACGAAAGAAGGTACTGCAGGGAATTCGAAGCTGTGCCTCCGGTCACTTGCGACTAGCCGTGTGTATGCATAGGAAAACCGTGGTAATAGAAGAGCCCCAGCCAGCACGACGCGTATCTGGGTCATACAGCCGCTTCCCTTTCGCACGCGTCTCTCTGCTCTGTGCTCGTTTCCCATAATTTTGTGAGATTCGCTGGTACCATCGTACGTCGATTTACCGTCAGAACGAACGTATCCTTTGTTATTCTTAGATCGAAAACGAAAAAACATGCAATTACGTGTAACGAGAAAACACGACAAAGAAACGTCCTGCATGAAAGTTCGCTGGAACACTTTCACATAGACGGATAGAAAATGGAACGGAAAGCGGTGGCGTGAAGCGTGTTGTACAAAGTTCCTAGATGTCGATATTCGTGGGGGAATAATCGCAAAAAAACGCGGAAACGGGAGCAGACTTAAAGGGAACTCGGTTTTCCACGAGCCCGTGCACGGTTCGTTGACGTTCAAGATCTAGAGAGTCGTTGCACGCGAGCTCTCGTTTCGACTTCTTTGTTGAGCGCGGCGGTTTGTCGGATCGCCGCGCTTGGTTAAATCGTTTGCGTAGACGAACGAGGTTGTCGCGTAACAGTTTCGATGCCGGCGATGGTAACGAGCTGTTACATCGTCACCGGATGGAAAGCAGGATATCGAAGAGGGAAAAAAACAGAGTGGTGACCGTGGAGCTAGATTCCCGCGGGGACAATCCCGGACGAACGAGCCACCACGCGAGGAACTATTATCTGTGTGGAAGAGCAATCAGCTCACGCGAAACCCGTTTCTCTTTAGAGCGGACACATCGGACGCGCCGGCACGGTAAATAATGAACCTCCGCAGTCATTTATCAAGCTCACCGCGAGGCCAACGAATGCTCAAAGTAGCCCGGTTGAAGTAAATGGAAGAGTGCAACGCGAGCTGACGGCAGGTAGCAAAGCGCGCCCGCCGATCCCAGCTGGATTTCGCTCGCAAGAAAAATAAGACCGTCACTCGACGTTGCTCACGGTATCTCGATCGAACGTACTTACCTTTCGTGATCGTGTTCGGGGGTCGGTTCAAGGTAACGAACCTGGTCGTCTAATTACAAACCAGGAAGTCTCCTCGAGTCTCGACGATTCGTGTCTCGTCCGTTCGTATGTACACAAACGTTCGATGTCGGTGTTGTGGCTGTCTTTGAGATGCGATCAACGGCCGAATCGTGCTACGGTCAACCGCGTCCTTGTTCTGCGAGGTTTTATCAACGCGACAGATAACGCCGTTCCGAGAGGGTTCGTGGCTCCATGAAAGTGATCATCACCGAGGATCGTGGCCGAACGTTAACTCCGTTTTGTGCGACGGTGTAGTTCGGGTTTCGGTGAATCATGCGGCGACGAAACAACAGCAACGTCGGTTGTTGCTGCCAGAGCAACAAGAGATCCGGTCGCGCCGGTTACAACGACGCGGACGGAAACGAACCACCCGGTTGGTGCTTGTACACGAGCGTGGCTCTGGTAGCCGTTGCTTGTTACCTGAACGCGTTAAACGGTGATTTCGTGCACGACGACATACCAGCGGTGGTGAGGAACAAGGACGTGCTCGCTCAAACACCTTGGACCAGCGTCCTCAAGGATGACTTCTGGGGTACGCCTATGCACGACATCAACAGCCACAAGAGTTACAGACCTTTGACCACCCTCACCTTCCGGTGAGTCATTTTTCTTTTTTTTATTATTAATAGACAGACGATGTCAGTGATTATTGTATGGATTATTATTGGAATTCTTTGTAAGATTTTTAAAAGAACTTTCATATTTCTGTTAAGTAGAATATATTAGGTATACTTTTCTACTTTTTAATTAAAGATTTATTTTTAAAAAGTCGTGCTAATTTTTATCGTTATATTCTCGCGCCACTTTTTAAATACATCGAAGCGTGGGAAAATGTTGAAATTTAAAATAGTAATTAAGAAGGCTTAATGCTAAAGGCACCTAATATGTTTTTACACAGCAACAATTAATCTCGAAGAGGTGTTTTAAACATTAATGAAATTCTAATATTCTCACACATATGGTAAATGTTACAAACTGCTTGTGATATAAAACGAGAACAAGGTTAAAAAAGTGACGAGATCGATGAAAATTTCCGTAAGTGGTTGACATGGAACCCGGGCAATCAACAACGCTATATCATTAACACCAATTCGTTGCACGGTTAAAATTAGTAGACAGGTTTGTAATTAAAGTTACGTATTCGGAATAAATTAGCACGAGCGTGATCGTTTCATTGTGTTATCGCGAATAGTATAATTATACGTTGCGTTCCGTTTCAAAGTCGGGTTAAAGCGCGATCGTTTCCAGTCGATTCTCTACGACATTTCGAAAATCTAGATCGTAGAAAGGTGTACGGTTATCTCGTGAATTTCAAACGAACCGCTTGTAACGCGTCGCGAACGTTCGTGTACCTCGAATCCTCTATCTAATTACCTGTAACAATACTTCCAGACGTCTGGCACGGTTACTTCATTCAACGGATCCGTCAAGCTTGTCTTTAATTTTAATTAAATGAATCTCACGCCGCGTCGCGTTTCTTCCTAGCTAATGACAGGTTCAACTCGGGGAGTACTTTAGCTTTGATATTAAATAACAAGGAAACACAAGCACGTTACGCAATTGATTTTAATGAAGTTTTCAGAAAAGTACTCTGAACTGCATTCCTATAACAATGATAGAATAACGGGCTGATCATAAATACGAAAGCGTGTAAATGCATAAAGTTTCTGCAACTATAGAATCATAATTTCATGGTCAACCTCTATCGTTTCTTCTACTTTATTCTATACACCATCGTTCTATCGCAATTACATAAGTTAAATTGATCTCTATGCTTGTAATTTCTAACTTCTCTGTATATTGACGGTGATAATAGGTATTCCATTTATTGTACGTATAAGCATTCCATACTCGCCGAAAATGTTGGCATTGTCGTAGTATATTCTATCATCAATCGTTCGCATGTTATTTGATAACAAATTCTGCCATGTAAACAGGTATCCGAAAAAGGTATTTGTTTAAAAACGTAGAACAGCTTCCATGGAAACGTATACCTATATGTAAACTAGTCGGTTAAAAAAAATATAGATGAATTGGAAGTTTTATATTTCACCGTCATAACAAATATTATTCAACGCGTCGAATATCTATATTTCGTACTCGACAAAAACTACCCTTGTGGAAAGATTTGAAAAAAAAGGAAAAAGGTCGCGGAAAAAACTGGAAACAATAATCCATAGTTTCAGAATGAAACTGTTAGAATGAAAAATTAAAACATGATTTCTTTTATGAAAAGGGTTGATATTCAGAACAACAAACCATTTCCAAGAAAGCCACCCTTTTGTTGAATTCAAACGAAAAAAAAACTGCTCTCCTCCTCTTTTACGTTCACCGTTCACCCTCCATAACGATAGAAAATTGCTCAATTACACCGTTAGTCTAGCAGGTTCGGTTCTCCGATCGTGTGAATCTACACGACACATCTGCATCGGACAATTTCTCCACCGACTCTGTATTGATTCTCTCGGCTTGAACGGAGAATGGAAAATTACGGTGGTGCGTGTCCGATGTAGTAGGTAGCCAGTGCCGTATGGTCGGTCATGGGTCCGTCCGGTGGTGGTTAGGCGCGGGTTGGAAGGGGTGTGACAAGAACCTGACCACGAGAAACTGTTGGGACACCGTCGTGTTACATTGTATCCGTGATACGCGACGAGGCCGTATGCTTTCCGGTTAGCGGCGATTTGATGCATGGATACCAGTTTGCCACACTCCCCCGCGCGATACTGCATATTGGCTGGTATTGGGCGATCCATCATACCGCAAGACACCGGCACATCGCTCATTCGCCTTAACGCTCCAGATGCTGTTGCCAACTTCGACGGCCAGAGATACTCGGTTCATACGTTCTCCAGCAAGGAACGTAGGGATGGGGCCAAGGTGGAACTAGGAGGGAGGCTGAGCATCGCGCTTTCGCGTTTCGCGCGTTGCCGGAAGTGGAACGCATCCATAATTCCTGAGGTTGTAGCGAGACGAGAAGGCTATACGAGCTCAGCCAGTCACGTTCCTGCGTCTTTAGATTACGGGATATTAACGATCCGGACGAGAAAGGGCATCGTTTCCAGCCAGTTTCCATAAGTGTCTTCTAATCGTTCCATAAGATCATTTTTTTCTAACGTTGCTTTCGAGTCGAGTGGATCTCATTATGATTAACTAATTGGTGCACTTCTAAGAACGAACTCGTGAATCGAAGAATCATCGTCTTACTTATTGTTTGCCTCCACTGAAATTAAATTCGACATCAGAAGGATAGATGTTGAATTGTATGTATGTCGGGAGGTATCTGGTTAAGGGCGATGCAATTGGAATTTCTCCACCTTATATTACTTTGCGACCAGACGAGAGTCCATCCTGTATATAATCTGCCGAATGTCTGGGGAACGTGTTGTCGGGGTAAGAACGTCGATGAGTGGTGCATTTTATGATATAGTCTAAAAAAAGGGACTGAGTATGGTGGGAGAGTTTTCTCTGGAATGGAAACATTCTAGGTGTGTTTATAGTTAGTTGGAAAAACGAGACGAATCGAATCAGACGAGTTCTCGAATAAAGAGTTTGTTATGTACATCGAACTACAAATATTTTCTGCTATCTCCCCATTCTTCCTTACCCGGATCACTTTTGATCTATCTCGGATCCAATACTAGATCTTCGTCAGAGGAATCTTTAGCAGAGATACTCTGGTTACCTAGAAACCTAGGAAATGATGATTCTTGCCTGACGTTCGTCAAACAGCGGACTTATTAACACGGTAACTCAAACATCTAGAGAGAAAATGACAGAGAAGCAACGGGTGGGTCGAGTTACGTGTGTTTATAATTACTGTTTCTTTCGTTTGTCAGGAGGCCAGCCTGCCGATGACTCTTTCAGCACGGTGTTTTGCTTACGGCGATTTACGGGTCAGAGATTCCGAACAATTCCAACCCCACCTCTGCGTACCTTTGCTACACGTTTCATTCGCTGTTTTTCTTCCCTTTACACCACCTACCATCCTTTGATCTCTTTATTGTCGGCAGAACTTTGACGCCGCTTAGAATATTTCGCTCTCAGAATTCCGAGTTTCGAAATGAAAACGTACTGGCGAACCTGAAAGTTTGGAACGCGGGCCCCGGTTGACCCGTGCCGCGTTTATTCTAGTAACCCCTCGAACTTTGCCCGGGATTTTCGAACGAGAATCGTTCTAAACCAACCATCGTGGTAAAACCGTGCGCGAGTATTCGGTCGAGTACACGATTCTGTACGTGGTCTATTCGGTACGATCCTTTTGTGGTCTATTACTGGGAAACGGAACGAAATACTTCGATAACTTATAATTTTTGGTCGAATCGATCCACCATTCTTGTCATTTTTATTTGGTACCTTTCATCATTGGCACCTTTTGAATTTCCTAAATTTCTAACATAATTCATTAGAACATAGAATATCTAACGCAATCAAGCTTCGTCGTTTCCCTTGATAATAGGGTTAAACAACGAAGCAAATTCAGGCAGAGATTCGCGTTTACAAACGAGTAGAAATTCTCTGGTTAGATCGGCCGTTGGATTTTCGCTTTTGTAAATAGGAACAAGCTGGAAGTTACCAGCGATTCCCCGATAGAGAACAAAGCAAAGATACGATCAAACCACGATTCACGCTATCGGATCCCGATATCGTCTCTTTATTTAACCACCAATGTTAACACAATGACGGTAATATCGCGAGATCGACGAGGCGAGAAACAACTTGTCAATTCAGTTTTACAATTGAAAACGATGCATAAGCGATAGGGATGCCGTGGTACCATTTAATGGTACAAACAAAAGTTCTGTTTCTTTTGCCATCGTTACAAGCGGAACTTTATAATGATGGAAGCGTAATTAAAAATCCATTTGTATTGGCGTGTACAACGTTGCCGGCCGTAATGGTTAGCGAAGAATTTTCATAATGCGGTTCAGAGATGTTTCGATAGGAACCGGCGTACCCACGCGAAAATTTAGAAATTTTATTCGCTCCCTCCCCCTCCTCAATGAGATTCAAAACGGAAAAACGTGTAAGGGTAGTTCTAGGATTAAAAAGAAAAGTTTAGATAAATACGATTTAATGGGAGCTGTCGTATTCCCGGGCGAATACCGAGCACGGATGCGATGTACGAACGTAGAATACTACGAAGAAATGCAAATGTTTCCGCGAGGAGCGGAGATCCATTAAGCTTCGCGGAATCTTGTTTTCTCTTCTCCTCTTGGCTTAATCCGAGCATCCTCTACTTTCAATATTTACACTCGTCCATCGAAAAAAATGCGTTATATAAAGTTAGGAAAATTAAGAAAATATGCCTCGCGCTTTTCATCCAAGCTGCATGGTTTATTACATGAACCGTTTAAAAATTTGATGAATTTATTCGCAAATTTACCGTGTATGCCAAACTTGTTTTCTAAATTTTATACAAATATAACAAATCATTTTAAATACTTTGGGTGCGATTTTTATCGACGAATTTGCGGTTCTTTTTCAACGTTTATCCGCGAGACTCTTTGTACCCGTAGAGTGACGATCGATATAATCACATTTGCCAGAAGTAGGAACTTATACCGCGTCTCCCAGGAGAGATTCTTTGTTTCATCGC